TGAGTGTGAGAGAGTGTGTGTGTGTGTGTGTGTGAGTGTGAGTGTGTGTGTGAGGGTGAGAGAGTGTGTGTGTGTGTGTGTGTGTGTGTGTGTTTGACTCAACATCACCCATCAACCAGTCGAAGATCTGATCCACAAACGATGATGATGATGATGATGATGATCTTCTGTTTCTGTCTCAACATTAACCTGTTTCATCTGCAGTCAGTCCTGGTTTCCTCCAGCAGGTGTGTGTGTGAGAGCAGATGAAAGTGTTTAACTGTGTGTTTGTGATGTCGTGCATCATGCAGGTGTGTTCCAGCATCACTCCCATCATGCTCCGCAGCAGGGTTACGCTCACATGCCGGCCGTCCGCAGCCTTCGCTCTCCTCCGCACATGGTGAGAGAAAACACCGCTCACGTCTCCCTGCGCTTCATCACACACACAGCTGTTTCACTCACATTTTTCTCTACAGTGGTTTATACTAATCTAGAATTTACTAGAATTTCTGTCACATTCACACAAGTGCTGTGTCCAGCAGAGAGTGTACCGGGCGCTGTACGATTACGCCGCTCACGATCACGACGAGGTTTCCTTCCGCGACGGAGACGTGATCGTTAACGCGCAGCCCATCGACGAGGGATGGATGTTCGGCACGGTCCAGCGCACCGGAAAGTCCGGCATGCTTCCGGCGAACTACGTGCAGAGTTTACACTGAGATCATTCACACAGTAACACAACATGCCTCCAGCGTCTGTCTGTGTGTCATCAGACATCAAAGCCTGATAAGAGCTGATTATTATACTCATATGAGCTTATTTCTGACACAGAAAACACATTTTAAAAAGGTAATGGCTTTTTTATATGAAGAGTTTATTTGCAATAACAGATGTTTTATGTTAGCATGTTTTTATTGTGTTAGTTAGCTGTATTTTTTTGTTATTTTTTAACCTAATCAAAATAACCCAACTGCAGTTTGATTGAGATTAATTGGAATGCACAATGAAAAAACATGATTTTTGAGTTATGTTTTTGCAAATGAACTCTTCATATCTTTTTTTCTTATCTCGATTTAGACTTTTCTCTCTGAATTACACATTTATCTTACACGCTGCAAAAAATGATTCTCTTATTTAGTATTTTTGTCTTGTTTTCTAGTATAAATGTCTAAGTAAGAAAATCATTGTTTACAGCGTAGTTCTGACTTTTTCTCAGAATTGTGAGATATAAACGTGTAATCCTCAGACAAAAAGTCAAAATATCTCACACTTCTGAATTTCTAACTTGACTTATTTTAGAAATTCTAAAATTGTAACTTTTTGTCTGAATTATGAGGAAAAATGTTACATTGTCAGTTACTTTGTATGATTTTTATTCTGTGGCAGAAACAAGCTTCTGTATATTCAGATGAATTAATATCTGATAGTGAATGGAGGTTAATAATAATCCATAATTATTTAATTGATGATAGTTGAATGAGATTATAGTTTCATTTTTAAGTGTTGCCAAGCGCAGCAGTGCTTGTTCACTCAGTCCCACTGACTAGTTCTGGAATGAGCTAGTAGGTATGTTAATTTAGGTTTGTTTACTAACCAGTAACAGCTAGTTTAGTGTCTGGAGGTTGAACAGAGTCATGATGCTCAAACATACGACTGTCAGCAGTTCAGATCTGCACAAAAGCCATGTGACGTAGAAAACATTCATCTACTGTATGTAGAAACCACTCTTTTTCTAATATTTGTTTATTTATAAAGTGTTCTGAAGAGGAATAATGGTTCACTGTTCTGTTCATCACATAGATGTGCTGTTCGCTTTAACTAGTCACACGAGTTTGGTTTATTTACTGGAGTAACATGTTGATCTGTCAGCAAACAGGCGTTTGATCAGCATGCACAGTCTGATGTGATTGATCACTGACTCAGAGGAACCGAACAGACAAACGATTCATTCGTTCGTTCAGTTGTTCATCTGATTCAGTTCAGATCTGCTGATTCAATAATTTTTACACTGTAAGCAGCTGCATGTGCTGACAGTCAGAGCTCTATATGATCTGCCAGGTCTTCATTTCTCCTGATTGCACTGATTCACATAGTCTGAATCAGTGATTCACTGCAGAACGACTCTTTCTGAATCAGTGAATCACTGCAGAACGACTCTTTCTGCTCAGAGTTCTGTCAGATATTAAGATGAGTAAAGTACGTGATAAATGCATGACACTAGATGAATTATAAGCTAAATATCAGCAGGTTGTGAGTGTGATTGTATGTGTTCGGATCGCAGGAGGATGATGGGATCGAAGGTTTGTTTTATTTACTTTATTATAAATCCTCTCATTTATCGTCACTTTGACCTATTTACCCGCCTCACTGTCTTCTGTTAACATTATTTAACTTGTAGTGTTCCACAGTTATTGAAATTATAATTAATAAAAAGCTTTGTTCAGCATTCTGTCTGAGCGTGTGGCGCATGCGTGAATCTCCACAAAAGCGACACGCGTCTCTGTGCGTGTGACGTCAGCGCTAGCCCGGATGCGGCGCATGCGCAGTATGAGTGATCTCTGACGAGTGTTTACTGTAGGAGGCGCTGAACTTCAGACGCGTTCAAATCACAGTACGGTGTTCGTTGTTTTGTGGCAGTTGCACATTAACGTATAATCATTTACATGGATTTATTCTGATCGTTAATGCATGAGATACAAATCCCATGCGTGCATTCCAGCAATCTTTTAAAAATGTTTTGAAAACATCGACACTCAGTAATCTTAATAGACTGTGATTGGTTCCTCCTGAAACGAGCGCTGAGAGAAGTAACAGCTATCACGTGACAATGCTACCTCCGTAAACGCTCCAAAAAATGTTTTACACCCGAATAATGATGTAATGAGAATCTATCAAACTTATTAAAGAGAAAACACGCACAGAAGAGCTCAAATAGAATGTTTAATAATTTAAGGCATTCGAAAGCCCCGCCCATCGCGCTCGTTTGATTTCTATGGCGACACGTGTCCCTGCGCGTGTGACGTCAGCGGTGTCCCGGATGAGGCGCAGGCGCAGTGCGGTGGTTCGTCAGTGTGGGTTCTTCCAGCGCTTCAGACGCGTCTCTCTCGTTTATTATCAGTGTTTTCTCTTTTGTTTCTCGTTATCGGAATCATGAAAGTGCTGCAGAAGCTGCTGCTGCTGCTCTTGCTGGCGTTTCCCGCGACGCTGCTGCTGAAGGGTGAGTTTACTGTGCTCCATCAGGCCGCTTCTCTGTAATATCTGAAATAATAATCAATAACGCGCTGTTACTCGTCGATAATCCGCTCTGGAGGCGCACAGTGTGGCGTCTGGACTGATGTGGAGTGTGTGAGAGAGAGAGTGTGTGTGAGAGAGAGTGTGTGTGAGTGTGACGTGTCCTTCAGCGCCGCTCACACTCATTCAAACTCTCGGTAAATCACATCAGAACCACACATCAGCTTTCACATTAAATCCACTTATATACTGCGCTAAACAGCAGAGAGTTCTTTGCTATGACTGTAGTATTGATTACGTGGCACAGTACGTGCTACTTACACTAACAGTCAACACACTGAAGACTGGAGTAATGATGCTGAAAATACAGCTGCGCATCACAGAAATACATTACAGTTTAACAGAGATTCACATAGAAAACAGCTGTTTTAAATTAGAATAATATGTCACAATTTACTGTTTTTTCTGTACTTTGGATCAAATAAATGCAGGCTTGGTGAGCAGAGACTTTAAAAAACATTAAAAATTGTACTATTCAAAAACTTTTGACTGGTAGTGTATAATAAGTAGATTTTTACTGTTCGAGTATTTGAGCATGTCTTCACATATCAGCTAAACTCTCTGTATGTGCCTGTAATCACATGAACATGTGTGATGTGTGGAGTTCTGCACATCAGTGACACTCAAACATCATCAGATGTGTGTCAGACCTCGTAATGAACTCCAGGTGTGTGTGTGTGTGTGTCCAGGGCCGGTCGTTTCTGCACAGGACGCTACAGAGGAAGAGGAGGCTGTGGATGAAGATGCCGCCGATGATGTGATGGCTGAGGATGAGGATGATGAAGCTGAGGTGGAGGACGATGATAACACTGAACTAGTAAGAGAACTAACTAACTAGCATTAACCTCTCGTCATCTGAGCGGTTAGTGGAGACGCTCATGTTGTCGTTTCTTCTGTCAGACGGAAGAAAAGGAGGAAGAGGAGGAAGAAGCTCTGGTGGGGGAGATGAAGGCTTCACCCAACGCTGACACCACCATCCTCTTCGTCAAAGGAGAAGGTGAACGAGTCGATCTCACATTCACCAGGAGACATGACTGATTTAGTGCACAATGAGTTGACACATTCTGTTCAGTATTCTCTGTATTGCATTAGTTGTTTTGTTACTAAAATACATTATATTAATTATTTCATATGTCAGGTTTACAGAGTCAGTCTCATGGTGTTTAGTTTCTGAACTCTGATTCACAGACTGATGGGTGTTTCTCTTCTGTCGGCTCATTCATTCGTTCTCTTCCTGAATGGCAGATTTTCCCGCCAACGACATCGTGAAGTTCCTGCTGGGATTCACCAATAAAGGCTCGGAGAACTTCGTGGTGGAGTCTCTGGATGCCTCGTTCCGGTACCCGCAGGACTTCCAGTTCTACATCCAGAACTTCACAGCGCTGCAGCTGGGGACCGAGGTTCCTCCTCAGCGTCAGGCCACCTTCGAGTACTCCTTCATCCCCGCAGAGCCCATGGGAGGCCGGCCCTTCGGCCTCGTCATCAACCTCAACTACAGGGACAGCAGCGTGAGTCTGTCTGTGTGTGAGGGTGTGTGTGTGTGTGTGTGTGTGTGTGTGAGAGTGTGAGTGAGTGAGTGAGTGAGTGTGTGTGTGTGAGTGAGTGAGAGTGCGTGCGTGTGTGTCTGTGTCTGTATATATGTGTGCGAGTGAGTGAGAGTGTGTGTGTGTGTGTTTGAGCAGACCGTCTCTGGACTCGATCCTCTCTCACTCACTCGTGTCCTTCCTCTCTGCTGTTTCAGGGGAACGTGTTCCAGGACGCTGTCTTCAACCAAACCGTCACCATCACCGAGAGAGAAGATGGTCTGGACGGAGAGACGTAAGGCTGCTGCAGCGATCCAGGAGTTCAGGCTTTGAGCAGCAGGTGGCGCTCTGATCATGTGACTGACTGTGTGTGTGTGTGTGTGTGTGTGTCTGTGTGTGTGTGCGCGTGCAGGATCTTCTTGTACGTGTTTCTGTCGGGGCTCGGCCTGCTGCTGGTGGTCGGCCTTCATCAGCTGCTCGAGTCACGCAAGGTGAGACGCTCATCATCATCATCATCAGCTGCTCTTCATCATTACTCTGCTGCCAGAATCTGTGCTTCAGTGCCTCTGGTGTGTGTGTGTGTGTGTGTGTGTGTGTGTGTGTGCTACAGAGGAGACGGCCAGCAGCTAAAGTGGAGATGGGAACCTCCAATCACAATGACGTGGACATGAGCTGGATCCCACAGGAAACACTCAACCAGATCAGTGAGTGTCAGCCAATCACAGCAGGCTTTACAAACGCAAACAATCACACTCGTTCAAATAAACTATGGGTTTGCACTGTCAATCAAATAAAACTGGAGTAGTATTTTGAAATCACAATCAAAGTTTGATTAAATTTGAGTTATTGTATGTCCGGCTGCATGTTTCAGGGTGAGACGAGTTTAGTTTACAGCATTTCTCTAAAATATTCCACATTCCACCAAAATTAAGCTTGAAGATTTAGTTGCTTGAAAGTGAACTAGTATTGGAACTTGTAGTGAAAAATATCATGTGTTTGTTTTACAAAACAATTATAATTAGTGCTGTGAAATCATTAATCACATCCAGAATAAAAGTTTTTGTTTACATGATATATATGTGTGTGTGCTGTGTATATGTATTATGTATATATAAATACATACACATGCATGTATACATTTCAGAAAAATTTATTTTGATATATTAAATATATTTATTTGTAATATAAATTATATGAATATAAATATAGACCTGTAAATACATGTACATATTTTCAAAATATATACTGTATGTGTGTGTATTTATATATACATAATAAATATACACAGTACACACGCACACACACACAATGTAAACAAAACAGCACTAGTTATAATTGTATAATAACGGTAATACAGTTCTGTCTTTGTTTTATATTTAGAGGAAAAAACTGTTAGTAATAGGCCTACTAATAACAGTTATCATTAATAATAAAAATGTATACTATTGGAATAAAAATATAATTATATTTAAAATATGACAATATAATAGTGATGTGTATTTTTGGCAGTGATGCTGCCCTATATAAAATGAAAACAAATTAAAATTAAATGAATTTATAATTCTGTAATTGATTCTCTCTGATGTCATTCCTAACCTGCATGAGGTTCTTTATTCTGTTGAACACAAAAGAAGAGATTTTGAAGAATGTTGGTGAACAGTTGCTGCTAGCCGTTGACTTCTATAGTTTGGACAAGAATACTGTGGAAGTGAATGGAGAGCAGAAACGGTTTGCTTCAGAATCTCTTCTTCTGTGTTCAGCAGGAAATGATGCAGTGAACAAACCCTTTAACAATCAAAATAAATGAAATGTTGGCTCACTTTAGCTGTGTCATGTGACTGTTAACAATCCTGCACACATGACTGTTGATGAAATGATTGAAAACTTTAGGTAAATGTCTGAGACTCTGATGTGGAGATCATCTGCGAGTTTGGTCTGATCTGGTCTGATCTAGTCCGGTCTGGTCTGATCAGGTCTAGTCTGGTCTGATCAGGTCTGGTCAGATCTGGTCTAGTCTGGTCTGATCTGGTCTAGTCTGGTCTGATCAGGTCTGGTCTGATAAGGTCTGGTCTGATCTAGTCTGGTCTGATAAGGTCTGGTCTGATCAGGTCTGGTCTGGTCTTCCTGTTCTCCTCACTCACGCTGCTCGTTCTCTCTTTATCTCCTCCTCTTCCTCTCGTGAGCTCAGTGGCGAGTCGGCGAGGTGAGCGTTGTTTCCGATCTTTCTGTCCTCTGATCTTCATCATGTGACTCACGCCTGATCACGTGACTGACGTTTGTCTGTTTCTCTCAGATAAAGCGTCTCCCAGACGATCTCCACGCAAGAGGACTCAGAAACGCTCGGCCGGATCAGACGAGTGAGCGACGCCGCCATCTTCATCTTCATCATCTTCATCTGTGTTTACAGTGAGACGGCGAGTCTGTCCTTCACTGGACGTCAACAGAGACTGACACACACTCACTCACACACACACACACTCTCTCTCACACACACACACACACACACACGTTCAGGCCGTTTTTTTTAAAGTGAAAGGGCGTGAGGAGTTGGGCCGCTCAAGCTTCTGTAGGTCTGCTTTATTTTTAATTGCGAGCGTTACTCTTCTGTGAGGACTGATGGACGTTTCTGAGCCTCTTCGCTCTTCATCACGTGCTTCTTCCTGTCAGACCATGAATTGATAATGACTGGTTTTAAATACAGAAGGTGCCTGATTTCATTTAATTTCTCTGGTTTTCTTCATGATTTGTGTGTCGTGACGCTGATGTCATGTGATCTGGTCATGTGACTCGAGGTCGCGCCGCTTCCTCCTCTTTTTGACGGTTTGCTCCTCTGGACGGAGGAAGACTGTCGTTGTCTTTGTTTTTTGATCAGTCTAATAAAGTGACGGTGTTGCGGTGAAAGCAGCCGTGAGCGAGTGCTGATGTACAGATTGATATGTACTTGGAAAAATACTAATAAACTGAAATTAACAAATGGTCTGCTTCTGTGTGAGACTGTCTCATCGTATCTTTAGTTCCTGAATGTGAGGGTTCAGTTTTCATCAGGTTTCTGTGGGTTCCATAAATGAAGGCCTTACAAAAAGTCTTAAATTCATAAAGTCGTGGCATTAAATGTTGCATACACTGCAAAAAAAGAATCTTCCTCAGTATTGTCTTGTTTTCCAGTACAAATATCTAAACATGCTTAAATCAAGATGCGAAATGAAGACATGAAGTCTTGTTTTCTGAGAAACTGAACATTATAGTTATTAAAGTGAACAAATATGCCAGTTGGCTCAGAAAAATAAACTTGTTTATCCTTTTGTTAGATATTTGCTTTTGATTTAATTATAAACTAATTTTGATGAGTTCTTTGACTACCTTCCTGCATCTTTCCATTCATTATGCAGCAATATTCCTCATATCTTTACTGTAACGACTCATCATATGGAAAATGTCATTAATGTGCCTGTCTTTTCATTGTGAAACACTCGAGTTTTTCATAATTACTGACATGCAATAATGCTGCAGAACTCTTTGCTCTCTGATGGACAAAGTTTTGACAAGAAAGGAAAAAATATGTTTCCACCAGTTTAAAAGCCCAGCGGAAAGTTTGTTTGATGTTTAAATGGAAATGAATGAAGATCAGAACTGCTCTGACATCCGGTGATGATAAATACATAAACACGTGATGTCCTGTTGTCTCTGTGTTTGTGATCTGAGCTGATAGACTTTGCTCTGAGTTTCCAGAGAAGGAAAAACAAGCACACGCTTTTTCCATTCATCATCCTCATCGTGATGGATCTTCATCTGGTGATGATGATGATGATGATGATGTTCCTCCACTGACGTCAGCTGCACTTTCACCTCGTGAAGACTCACACAACACTTGATTCACCTGATAAATAGTTTGATGCACAAAAATGATGAATATGTGCAAATTGTTTTCCCCAAACATGCAGAACAGTATGAATACCTGACATATCTATAGATTTATTATTTAAAAACTCTAATAATCATGAATTTACAAAACGTTTGTACAGTTACAGAACAAAATCATGCACTGGAGAATCTTTAAAAATTCATATTATGTGCTTGTATGAGTATAAATTCATACATTTACATGTCTTGTGTAGTCAGTCGATTATTCAGCTGTTCACTCTGTACACGAGTATGATATTCACAAATGATGGCTGTGTAAAATCTTTTTTTCTACACTTACAACTGCAGAACATGTTGTTAATGCTATTAATACTTCGCCGGTTGATGAAAGCAAAAAAAAAAA